TCTGAGTTGCCCCAGGAACTGGCGTCTTGCCACCAGTACAGTGTGGGCTCTGTGCATGTCCCTGGGACAAATAAATGACAAACAAATAGGCTGTGAGTGGATCTGGTGCAGATGGCAGCTGCGAGTGCCTCCGGGCGCCTGGTCCTCAGACAGTCTCTGGAATCTTCTGTGCATCTGGCTCTGGTCAAGGCAGCCTTACTGTTTGGCATAGGAATGCTCTTGCCCGGCCTCTGTTCTTGAACCCCCTCCACCAGCCCCTCTTTGGAATTTATTTACAACTTCTCTGGGAGGTCTGCTGGAGAATCCCCCTGGAAGTTCTGCTCAGAGCTGGATGTAGGGACCCCAGGCCCGAGAGGAGCAAGTGGGAGGCCCCGCCTCCATGGCTGGATGAGGGCTGGATCCCAAGCACTGTCCCCACCATGGACTCCCCCGTCCTTTGCCACACACATCTGAAGCACCTATTGTGTGACAGGCCCAGACGTGGGACACAGCAGGGACCCAGGCGAGACCCTGCCCTTGAGGTGTTCCCAGTGCAAGGGCTGAGTGGTGAGAATATGCATCATAGACGAGGGCTTTATTGAGCACTTACTATGTGCTCAGCTGTTTAACAAGTCCTTCTGCACCTCTTACTCTGTGCCAGGAGCGGTTCAGAGTTATTGGTCCCTCTCACAGACAAGGAACCACAAAACACAGGGGTCACACGACTTCTCTAAGGGCACACAGCAGTAAGCAGCAGGGGGCAGGAGTTCAACCCAGGCCTGTGCATGCAGCACTGAACCATCTGCCACATGGGAATAGCATCAGCTATGGTGACAACTAACAGGTGAGCCCTGAATCCCAGAGAAATTCCCCAACGGGCCCATAAGGGTGGTCCTGGATTTTCTGGTGGGAGCTGGAGGGACCGCGCATGCCCCTCACTAGTGGGAGGGGATGATGAGGCAGCACACTGGGGAAACCAAGGCAGCAGTCAGGAGCCATGCACTAGGAAGAAGCAGCCAGAGAAATCCTACAAACAGAAGTGACTGGAAAAGAGGAGAAACAGAAGGAGGCTGCAGCACCAGCCGTCTGCCTGTATAAAAAACCCACAAACACACAGGACTCGGGAGCCCACTCTGGCGTGTCTGCAGTCAGACACCTATTAGCTGTGTGACCAGGGGCAAGTGCCTTTAGCTCTCTGTGCCTCAATTTCCCCAAATATAAAGAGAATATGATATGAGCACCCACTTCAAAGGTGCTTCTTAGCACATGGCATGTACTCTGTACGTGATTATTAAACGAACAACCACAGTATGTAGTTTACAAGGACACTCACGGACAAGTCATCCAGGCTCAGGGGTGCAGATCCTTGATGTCGGTGGGGAGAGGAGGAGAGGCGCGGGTAGTTGTGAAAAAGGGAGTGTGTCGATAAATTAAGTTCAGAGGGGGCCCCGGGTGGCTTTGGCAGCGCACAATGAACCCTCTAGGGCACAGGTACCCATAAATCACCAACGACCACGAAAATAAATCACCCTGTGTGATGCCCCTGGGCCTCATGCCTGGAAAAAGGCAAACGTTCCCCTCCAGCCCCTGCGACCCCCATGCTGGCTCCTGCTTGTCACCTGGGCTGGCCGAGAACGCCGCCCTGCCCTTTCATTCACTCCCTCGCCCTCCCTCCTGACAAATGGTTCCTGAGGACCCACTATGGGCTACACGTTCTCTTAGGGGCTTCAAGGAGCACAATTTGGCCTGAGGGACATGTGGATGCATTTGTCTCCTTTTTCAAGTGTTTACGCATTCCTTCTTTCGTGCATTCTTTAGTCTGTCCGCACCTTCGCCACCTCATTCATCTACTTCCTCTTGGTTCATGTGGTCCCTTAAAATATGCCTCAGGTCCCCTCTGCAGGTTCTGTGCAGGTGCTGGGGATCCATTGTAGCCAGGAAGATGTGGCCTGGTCCTGCTCTTGGACCTCACAGTCTGTGAGGGAAACTGTCAACACCTAAACAGACAACAATGCCACACCGGGCTGGGACCATGAGGGCTAGGACCCAAGTGGGTCATTGAGCTAGGGACCGACCTGGGGCATGGGGGCGCCTATTGAGACAGAGTGATTAAGGAAGGGGGACATCCACGTGGAAACCTAAAGATGCAGCAACCGTCCTGGGAAGACCTGGGAAATGGAATGTTCCACACGGTGGAATCATCTCCCCACACTTGCATCCATCCATCATCTGCTTACTCATTCATTCCTGTCTTTATTCATTTATTTGTTCAATACATAAGACAGCTTGGTCTACTTGGGAAAAATTTGTTTGGAGCCACATAGGTCTGAGTTCCGATTGCAACTGCCACACACTAGCCAAATGGCAGAGAAATGCTTCTTATCTCTCCATGCCTCAGTTTCCCCATCTGCAGAATGGGGATAATGATGTCTAATCGGAGGTTGGTTGTGAGGATGAACTGAGATGAGGATTCGTGAGGGCACGGCGGATGCTCCACGAATGGCGGCTATTGTTTTGGTCCGCCAGCCCATCATTAGTGTTTGCCTTATGTGGGGAGGGACATGTGACGACCAATCTCATGGCTTGTCAGTTTGCTCTGGCTCCTCCAATCAGGAACACTGGGACACACTGATTATCTTTTCTACCCTATTTCTTTAAACAAAGAAAATGGAGGCACAGAGAGACTGTTGATTGTTTAAGGCCCCCAGGAAGTGGCAGAGCTGGGGAGACACCCCAAGCACTTTGCCCCTAATCTACCCGCCCAAGTGGCTGGTCGTCCCTCTCCAGGTTTCATTGGCGATGAGGCCTGCTGGGCCACCTGAGGTTTTACCGGCAGGTGGAATGGTCAGCATTTTAGTCATGCTGTGGGGTATCTGCTCAAATTGCTCGTGGCAAACAGATTCCCTAAAAATGGCAGTGGCGTTCTCTGGGTCCCAGCTCGGCGGGCTCCTGTCACATAATATCGAGAGGCTTTGGCAGGTCACCCAGCTGGGAAATGTCTGGTCGACCCCCAGCCTTGCCAGAGACCGAGAGCCTTTAGCTTCAGCTCCAGACCTGCGGCTGTGTGTCCTGTGGTCATCCAGCACATCCGGGTCTCTGCCTGGCCTCTGTCTGGTGATACTGTCTACCTTGGAGTCATGAGATATTTCACAGCATAGGGACCCTTCATACTTGGTGTTCATCAAACGTCATTGAACCTGGACTGGCACCTAGCACCTTGGGCGATTTCCTTAATGACACCTGTCGATGAAGCTCGCCTCCTGGGATTTGGTTTTAAGAGCATACGGTAAGTTAATCAGAAGGAAATGGGGACTGGCAGTTATTGGGCAATCTCTATGTGCCCCCACACCTTTCACATATATGATTTTAGTAAATCCTCATATTTCAATTAGTGCGTAATTTGGCTCTGAGGAACAAAAAGTCTGACTAACTATGGCTTAAGCAATAAGCCATTAAATTTCTCATGTAACAGGAAGTCTGAAGGTGGTGGTTCCGGGTTTGGTTCAGTAATGACATAAAGTCCCAAGGACTCAGTTCTTCCTTCTGCTCTGCCATCCTCCGTATTTTGGCTTTTCAGTTTCAGGCTTGTGCCTCATATACACAAAATGGCTGCTGCAGCTCTAATCATCACATTTGCACACAAGGAAAGAGGAGGATGAGTAGAGACACTTTTTCTCTTCTGAGAAAGGAAATCCTTTCTAGGAGTACCCGGCAGATTTCTTCTTGTGTCTCATGGGTCAGAGGCCCATCCCTAGGTCAACAAATGGAGAAATCATTAGTGTCACCTCTTGTGGGGTCATGTCTATGGTGATCATAAACCCCTTCCATGGACACAAGCCTGCTGCCACCTCCAAGCGGCCACATGTACTTCAGCATCCCCTTGTTAATAAACTGCAGGAAAAGGAAAGAGGAGTAACTGTTATTTAAACTATAGAGGAGAACATTCCTACTGAGGCTTGGGGACAGGACCTCACCCAGGCGTGAGAGTAACCCTAAGGAAACCCTCGCGGTTGAGCTCAGCGCGTGTGAGGGAGAGAGGAAGCAGTGTTCAGAGAGCTGGCCCCAGAGACCACGCCAGGACCAGGGCCATCCTAAGTGCCGCAGGCAGGCTCTGAAGAGTCGTTCCCGGGAGGTGACCCGTGGGTGCCGCGGTGCTATGATAGTTTAGTTTAAGGATCACTCCGGTTGCTCTGAGACACGTGGGTGGTGGGGGTGGGCAGGGAAGCCGGGGGCCTGTCAGGAGGCTGTCGCAGTGGTGCACGTGGAGAGGACGGGCCTGGTCCCGTGCAGGGCAGGCCCTTACGGAAGACCCTGCATCTCCTCTCTCGCACGAAGAAGAGGCTCCTGTGACAACGGTCCATCACCTGGCAAAGAGCAGGAACCCCAGCGGGGACACCGAGTGTCCAGGCATATGTGGAGAGAGTCCCAGGACCTGAGGGCGTCTGGCTAGGAGCAGAGAACCTGTAACTTGGTCCCACGGCTTTAATTTGCCGTGAAGCTGATGATGAGATCTTCAGCCTCGGAGCCGATTTCATTCATGAATTGCTGTCATTTCTGGATCGGGGGACTGAAAGCCACCCTCTGCTGCTCGCAGCTATGGAGAGAGGAGAGAAAGACGGCAAATGGAAACCAGAAGGAGGAGCAGCCGAAAGAAATGAGAGGGAGCTGGTTCTCCACTGGGAGCCCTTTCAAAGCCGCTGCAGCTGCCCACGGGTAACAGTATCTCTGCCTCCCGCCCGTCCCCCTCCCTACCTTTGTGAACTACCTGGCAGGGTGACCCCGCTCCTCTGTGAGAATTTCACACCCCGCTGTGAAATCACAGCCCTGTAACTTTCCCTTTAAGAACTGTCAGAGCAGGGGAGGCCGGGCAAGCCAGGGCTGGAGGTGGGGACAGAGGGAAGAAAGAAAAAAAAAAGAAAGAGAGGCAGGAAAAGTTTTTTCAGAGGAAAATGCAGGGTTTGTCCTTAACCCTGACGTCAGATCTTGCTCTAATAAAACCCCCCAAGGGCCGCGGAAGAGGCATATCTGGGGCTCCTGATGGGCCAGGCCAGTCTGGGCCCAGCTCCCCCGAGAGGTGGCTGGATCCTCTGGGCTCTCGGTCGATGCCTTTGCCACTGACTTCCAGGCATGAGGTGGTTCCTGCCCTGGACGCTGGCAGCAGTGACAGCAGCAGCCGCCAGCGGCATCCTGGCCACGGTGAGTTCTGCCTGGAGGGGCTCAGAGGGGACCCAGCTCCCAGCCCCACCGGGTCCTGGTGTTTGGGGTGTGGTGGGAGGATGAGGAGGGCAGAGGAGGTGGGGGCAGGAAGTTGCCCACGCAGGGGGCAAAGGTGAGGCCCAGGGTGAGGAGTGGGGCTGCCTGGGGTCTGCAGAAGCTGGCAGGGCAAGGAGGAAGGGGACAACCCTCGGGGAACCAGCCACGCGGGTCCTGCACGCCCTCCCTCCCCACCTGAAACAGAGCAGAAAGAATGTGGCATTCAAGGCCACTGGGAGTCGGGGGCTTGGGCTCCAGACCCGGCTTTGCCAAGACTGGCTGTGTGGCCTTGGGCTAGTCACTCACCCTCCCGGAGCACCACAAAGTGAGGAAGTTGCTAGGAGAATCTTTGAGTTTGAAAACTCCAAGACTCCAAGCATTGGAGATACTACAAGGATGGGAGATGGAAAAAGCTAAGCAAAGTTGGAAAGGAAAATGCCAGGTTTCAACAAAAGCTCCTCACTCGAGCACACAGCGCTCGGGGTGATTTCTATCCCCAGCTGCCGCCGCCTTGGGTTTGCACAGCCCTCTACAGTGTGTACAGTGTGCACACTTTGGTCCTGCCTACGAAGCCTGCTCTCCTGGTGGGGGAGGGGGCATCCTGAGGGTCCTCTCTCTCCCACCTGCATCCCAGGGCACACCAAGGACAGGGACAAAGGTCTGCACCTCCAGGAAGCCAGGGGACTAAGACACGTGGCAGCACAGAGCCAGCTGCTGGGGCTGGGCATGGGGTGGGAAAGACAGACGGGAGGTGGGTACGGAGCGGGTAAGAGGTGGGTATCTGGGCGGCTTCGAAATCCAAGATCCCACAGCCCCAGCCGGGGCCTGCTGCCTGCTGCAAAGCCCAGAGAAGGAGGGGAGATGGCAAGTGGGTCCTTATCACCAGCTTGCATGGATGGCTTCCTTGGGGATTAATGAATCCCCTTCACAGATGAGGAAACTGAGGCTCAGGGCCAAGCTACTTGCCCATGGCCCCAAAGACTCTGGGTCTGCTTCAGCCAGATCTCAGGCTGACAGCCCCCAGCTGACTGAGAGCCGGTGACAGGTATTCCTCCAGGGAGAGAGTCTGTCGGCTTCATGGTTAAGCCCTCCGTGCCCCGCGTGGTGCCTGCCTACAGGTAGCGCCGAACCACCTTCCGGAAACGATATTAGCTCTATTTTGCAAATGAAACAAACAGAGACTCACAGCAAGTGTGGGACTTGCCCAGGGTCTCACAGTGAATAAGCAGCCAGACTGAAACTTAGATCTGGTGATGCCAAATCCGAACGTTTCTTCCAGAGCTCTCCCGATTAGGGGACGCTGAGCATGTCCTACCAGAAGCAATCAAATCAGCCTTGATTTCTTTCAGACGCTGGGTGCAGCCGCGCCTTTATCTGGGTACGGCCCTGCAGGTTGCGACGTCTGGGAGGGCAGGGCGTGGATGGAGAAGAGGTGAGGGCCGTAGGGCGGCCAGAGTCTGAGCGAGGAGAGGAGGAGGGAAGTTTAAGGCTGGGTCCAAGCGAGCTGGTGCCCCAGTTACCTCCCAGAGCCGCTGGTGCTGGGGACGGGCGGAGGACGGGCGGAGGATGGGCCCAGGGCTCCGCCAGAGGAGACTCCAGCGAAGGAGCCAAGAGCAGAGGGGCCCAGGCAGCGGGATGGAGGGAAGGCTCCGGGAGGAGCTCCAGGCAGGTACCTCTCCCAGATCACACACCCCCGCACTGGTTTCATGATTCAGGAGCTCCCGGGACAAAGGCACGGCATTGGGTTCTGGCGGCATCCTCAAAACCCGCCGCGTGGGCTGAGACTCACAGACAGCAGCCAGACTCCGTTCAGAAAGCAGCACCGGGCCGCACAGCCACGTTCTGTGCACAGCCCCCTCCTCGACTGATATGGAAGGAAATGCAGGTCCAACAGCGGCCTAGTGGGACTTTAGTGGAAAAATGCTTACAGATGTTCATATGGGAGAAAAAGTATGTGAGAATTGCCAAGAAAATTTTGAGTAACTAGAGTTGTGAGGGAGGACTTCCCTGTGAGATATGAAAACACGATGCAGAGGTTCCGGAGTGGGAGGAGGAAGATGCCAGCGCAGGAAGAGCTCCGTCCAGCAGGCAGGTGGGAGGGCGAGCTCAGAAACACAGCCCAGCGCACGTGGGCTCTAATACACGCTGAAGGCGTGTTGCAGCCAGCACTGACTTTTCACCTCTTTATTCGTTTCTTCCTTCCACATCTATTGAGTGTCCACCATGGGCTGCAGGAAGGGACTGCTAGGTTTAGTGAGAACCGCCAAGCGCTGTGCCGAATGTCGAATGCTGTGCAAATACGTACATACGGCCTACCTCAGTTCATCCAACAAGCATGTATTAGGCACAGCCTGAAACTCCCATAACAACACTATTAAGCAAGTGTAATTAGCCCCCTGTATAGACACAACAAGGAAGCTCAGAGAGGTTAAGTAAATTGCCCAAGATCACACAGCTAATAATCAGGGAGCTCACGTTTGAACCTAGGTCCAGCTCTTTGCAACACAGTCTCCTGCCTCCCTGGTCCACGTACTTGTGCAGAAATGAGAAGCGGTCCCTGTCCCTACAGGCTATCAAGGCCCCTGGATGACAGGGGCAAAGCCATCCAGGATAGAGAGGCTGGGATGCAGGCTCTGCCACCGGCGGTGCCAGCTTCGGCAAGTCCCTCGCCACTCCGGACCTCACTTTCCTCATCTCTTAATCGCGACTAACAGCCTCACCCCCACCAAGCTCCCTGCTGCAGGACGTGAACACGTGACTGTTTGAGGGATGCCTCTCAGGAGCATGTGATTGGGCAAACACATGCTGCAGTGACAAATTCCTGGGCAAACACTGGGGCTGTGGTGGTCTGTGTGCAGGTCTATAGGGAGACCCGTGTCCTCCCTCCCATATCGACATATACGGGCTGTGCATAGCTGTACAAGAGTGTGTGTTCGTGTGTGTGTGAATGTGCTGTGTGTGTGCGTGTATGAGCCTCTCATGCGGGTCGGGACACTAGCTCATTCTCTGCTCCTGGAACCAACTGCAGAATAATGTGAGCCTGGGTGTGTGGCAAAATATCCCCTTGGAGAGAGAACATAAACAATATGCCTTTTTTACACCTCCCGTTTAGCGTTGGAATCTCAACGAGCATTTCAAACCCCACCCAGGCCCCACGCCCACCAGCTCAGAGCCTCTTTGGGCTCCTTGAAGCCCCTGCTCCCAGCTCGGGGCCCCTCCCACCCACGGCTCATCCGGGATGCTGGCGCTAAAAGGCACTTTCCCCTTGGCATGGCATTTGGCGAGGGAGTGAGCCTGGGAGCAGGTCTCCATGCACCCAGCTCTTTGGAAGACACAGTGCTGCAGTGGGGGCTGGGCACCTCCCCGCTCTTCTGCAAACCCAGCCGCCTACCCCCCGGAGAAGGCCCCTGTCCCATGCCAGCGAGGCAGCCAAATGCCAGGAAGCTGCCATTGGCTTTGTGCAAACAGCAACCCTGGGATCCTCCCAGGATCCTCCGCCATCTCTCTGGGCAGCAGGGAGGTGTTACTCCACACCCTGCGGGCTCAGACAGGGCAGCAGGGAAGGCAAAGCAGCTATAGTGCAGGTAGGGACCTCAGCCCAGGCAGCAAAGCAAGGGTTACCGCGGAAGTCTTGGAGCAAGACTCACCACATTTGTTCACTAGTTCAGCAACAGCATTGGAACGTCCTACATCCCTGCGATGTGGCTGATGACAAGGGCTAGCACGGATCACGCTCTCGCTTTGCTCTGGGCACGGCGTCCTCCCACACGACGATGGGGCAGGTAGTACCGCCATCGTCCAGCCCAGCGCCGTGCGGTCAGTCGCCGCCTGCAGCCAGAGGTCACTGAGCACTCGAAAGACTTGCTGGAAGAGTGAGATGCACACCGGATTTCAGGGCCTCATTATGAATATAATAGCGTAATACTCTCATTAATAATTTTTTATATTGACTCCGTGTTGAAATGATACTATTTAGAATGTACCATATTAGGTTAAACAAAATACATGATTCCACTAAATTTCACCTGTTTCTTATTACTTTTTAATGTGGCTACTAGAAAATGTAAAATTCCTTCTATGGCTCATTGTATTTTACTGGATAGTGTTGGCCCCGAAAGACACAGAGGTACTCAGAGGTATGGTAATAGGTTGGCGGGGATGCTGCGAGTGGAGAGCTCTCTCCTCCCAGAGCTCCGCTCACAAGCTGCGCACCCTCAGGCAAGTAACCCGGCCTTCCTGAGCCAGGATCCCCTCTGTGAAGAGGGATATATTAAGAGTGGCTTCTTGGGGTTGTTGGGAGAAGTGAAGAACAAAACGGAAATAAAACACGGGAAGCCCAGGAGTACCCAAGGGAAATGATTCCATTGTTCCAAGAGCAGAGTGGGGGAATTGCGACCTCAGTGGCAGCTCCAGCTGCAGACAAGGCCCGGGTCCAAGCGAGCGGGGGTTTCTGAAGACCCCAGGCTCAGCCCCAGGTGGGCGGGAGGAGGGCCAGGCTAGCTGGTGGGCCGTCCTGGCTGGGTGCTGGGACTGCCTTCTAAAGATCCCAAAGACTTCTACACCACGCCAGCTTCCCCAGCGTATTCACAGGGAGTCAATAAACGCTTCAGGGTTATTGTGTGGGAGAAAGAAATATCCGTGATGATGATGATGATGATGACAGCTGGAGGTGACGCTCGCAGGGTCCCTTGATGCTGACTGTGGGTTTCAGAGCCCATCCGCTTACTGTTCCACATCCCCACTGTGTGCCCAGCCACTGCCAGCTTTACAGGTGTTGTGGGTCGGCTCTGCCCTTCCCCTGGAGAGGGTTCGCGTTGGAGACAGATGTTCACGCCAGCAGAGAGGAGTGTGTTGAGGACCCAGGGGTGAGGCAGGGGGTGGGGAGCTCGGAGGGCTGTGGGGGACGGTGAGAACACACATTCTGGGGGTCTGAGCCTGAATTC